CCTAACCCTTACGGGCCCTCATGCTCAGTACGTGAGAACTGTATTTCCCATTGCACTTTCCCTCCAGCAAGTCTGCACTGCATGTGGCTCTTCATCTCTTTCTTCTTGGTTTCTGGCTTACCTTCTGCCCCTTGGTCCCACCAGTTCTAAGGGCAGAGCTTACACATTTCATCCGAATATTCCTCACCCTGGCCTCTGCCCCACACACAGAGAAGACACTGAAGCTGAACTGCTATCCTTCCCCTGCCTCCCATTTTTGCTCGATCATATCTTAACCTCTCTTACTACAGGACTGATGGGATATCACTGCTTTGTCCCATCTTCCCATGGATGTTTTATGTCCCTAATTTCAGTAAGATTCTCCCTGTCTTCTTTCTTTCAATATAACAATAATCTTTCTCTCTGAATTCATTAATTTACCTCTAGTTAGCTGATGTTTCTTACTGCCTTTTCCATAATAGCATAGTTCTCAGTCTGTATTCTCTCATATATTTTAAGTATTTCCATGCTAAGAACTATCTTGGCAATTTGAGAGTGGAATAAAGGGACCTAAAGTTATGCCATGATAAAAAAACACCATTCTCCTTTGGTGTATACCCTTCTAATACTTTTCTACATATGTGGTGGGTGTATAACCTTTAAATTGACACAGTGTAAACATGAAGTTCACTTTTAATCCCCGTTCTCTCAGCTCAGTATTTTATAGTAGTATGCAGGGTTTGGTCTATTTTACCTGACCTTTAAAGCAGTTGTGAAGTTGCTGCTGTTGTGAAGGGATTCCGGAAGGAGAGGAGTAGCTCTAGTGCTTTGGCACATGAAAATGATTTGCTTGAAAAAAAATTTCTGGTAGCATCAGAATTATGAATTAGAATAGTGAGAAACCTGCTCCTCCTAAGCTGTAAACATTGTAGACCTATGAATGTGACTTTTGTACTTGCTTCCATGCTGACCCATTTCTTACTACTAGTTGCTGTCAGTGAGTGTTGGTGTCACTCCTCTTTATATATTTAATATTTATGAAATTAATAAGAATTGTGTGATTATTTTAAAAGGGGGTCTAACATTGTCAAGGAAGTCCTGGGAGTTGGGGTGGAAAAGGAATTAAGTGAGCTCACCAGCCAGGTCTGAACTTGATTAAGCTGGTATTCTTTGTTGTAATTTATGCTAATACCCATTAAATCTGTAAACCAAGTCTGAAGTACTGTTTATATGAAAAAATATATATTTTTAGATATGCTATAAATGAATATAGTACTATATAATTATTCTCAAGACTTCTAGTCATATTACCTTGAAAATCCAAAGTGATCTTGAGGAATAGTAATACATTGTGGTTTTCTAGTTCATCTCTATACCTCCTACATAGATTTTTTTTGAATACTTATCTCTAACAGGATTAGCAAATTACATACCTTTTTGGTATCAGTAGCATGCCTAAAATACCAGAGTATTCACTAGCCAGTTATGGTAATAAAACCCCATTGAAATTGCCAGAGGAAGATTTAGTCACATACATATATACCATTTAAAGAGAGATAAGATGCTTCATTTTATTGTGCTTGAGGCTTTTATTAAGAACATGAAGTTTTTAAAAATCCCATTCTAGATTATGCACAGTGTGGTTCTCTTTTAACTAACGTGATGTCTGTGCAGGGCTAATTCAGCAGATATGATAGTTACTGCCTCAGCACCCAGCCTGTATATTACCCTGGTGAGCAGCACAGGCTGGCTGCATGGTTTTGTGGTGCCTGCTCAGGGTTGGTGGGATGAGGAGTAGTGAGGACAAGGAAACAGACAACAAGGTACAGTTATTGTGGGTACCCTTCAGTCATAAGGGTGTGGTGGGCTTGCCTGGGGCTCCTCATGGCTGTCCTTTCTTTCACAGCTTTTCAAAACTGTTGTTTAAAAACTCTCATATCTTTATTTCCACTCTTGGCCTCTTTGTTTCCTCTAGTGTTGTCCCATAAACTGGTTTCTTAAAAACAGAAATTTACTGTCTTGAATTCTGCAGGTTTGAAGAACACTGTGAAGCTGTCAGTAGGGTGGTTTCTTCCTGAGGGCCTTAAAGGAGTCTCTTTCGTGCCTCTCACTGGGGTTCCTTGACTTGGAGAAGCCTCACCCTGACCTCTGCCTCCATCTTCAGATAGTGTCTCCTCCTTGTATTGCTGTGTCCAAGGTCCCCTCTCCCCTTTTATAAGGACTCTATAAATAGTTATATTGTATGGGTGTTCACCTTAGTCAGTAGGCCCTCATCTTAACTAATTGGATTTGTGAAAATGTTGTTTTCAGATAACACCATGTTCTGAAGTCCAGAGGGTTAGGAATTTGGGGGGACACAGTTTAGCCCATGACAAAATCACTCCTGAGTTGTATGTAGGGAACACTGTACTTTTGTGTCCCACTTGGTACCTCCTGTTTAACATGGTCAGAATTGTCCATGTTTTCCCACAAGTTCCTTCTTCCAGCTTTTTTCTTACTCTCTTTAAATTTGTTTTCTTTGGTAGTGGGAGCAGCCTGGCCTCTGTCTTTGTCCTCAGTCTTGCTCCTTACCAGCGTTGTCATTTTAGCTTCACCTGTATCTCTAGCCTTTACTTCCTTTTCATTCAAGAGCTCCCACTATGCCCTGCTACCCTAGCTATCATCCTCTTTCTTTTTAAAATTCATCTTCTAAACCAGTTTCTTTTCTAAAACAAAGATTTAGCCCTGACAGTTATTAATCTAAAAGCCGTGAGTGATTCCTCCCTGCTTGTAAAAGCATAAAGATCCTGTAGCCTGGCTGTTGAGGCCCTCCGCAGGTGGCCACAGTTCTCACTGCAGCCAGTCTTATTGGTCTTATAACCTTTTAGATGCAGGCCCCTAGCTCTTTCACTCTTCTTTAAATGCAGCACATCCCCTCTACTTTCTTTCTTTGTTTTTGTTTTTGTTTTTGTTTATTTGAGACAGGGTCTTGCTATGTAGTTCAGGCTGGCCTTGAACTCACTGTGTACCCCAGGCTGGCCTTGAATTTGCAGGGACCCTCTTCCCTCAGCCTCCTGAGTGCTGGGATTGCAGGCATGCACCACCACGCCCAGCTTCCCCTCTGTTTTCACTTCTGTTCTATGCTCTGTTGTCTCTCCATTGTGGAGTGTGGTCTCTCAACCCCTCTTCCCTTTCCTCTCTGTCTCTTCACAGGAGCTCTAATTCTATATAGATCAAATGGAAACCAAGAGACCCAATTTGTTGGCTCAGATTGGCAGAAACCATTTATTTTGCATTATGCCAGTCATTTTCTTTCAGCTTCAGTTTCATTTCAAAACTGCAATAAGGAACTTGAAATAGATGATCTTCCAAATCTATTCATCATTATAATTATCCTTTAAAGGCCATGCCTCCATGAAGCCTTCCTGGCTTCTAAATACTCCTTCCTTTGTGCCCATAGAGCTTTATTTCTCTTAGTTTTCACAATCAGCTTCTGTACTACAGCAGTTATGTGTGTCCCCTGCCCCTGCTTCCCCTAACAGGGGGGAAGTGCTTTGAGTTCAACAAGGAAGGTTTAACTCCTGTCTGTGTCCCTTCCCATCTCCACCTTCCCTGGTACCTGAACATAGATTCTCATTGAGAGAGACTCTAGTAGAGGATGAAATGTCCAGGGCAAGTAGTCTCCCTAAACACTTGCTGTGCCTGAACATTCTGTATATTCTGAGAACGTGCTGTGGATGGTGAATGATATGATTTTGTACTGAATACACCATGAGTTTCCCCTTTCTTTGTGGCATTATAGTCAGGTGACATTCTGGGAAACATCTAAGTTGACTTTGGAACACTGTATAAAGATGTGTTCTTCCTATAAGATGTTGAGAAGTAATTAAGTGTTCTGTAAAACATGAAAATGTTCCTGTTTTCTTCCTCTCTTTATGTCCTCTAGAGCCTTGGACTATCTCAATGTATTATTGAAGTATTTTAACCTTTAAAATACAACATAGCATTAGAGAACATTCCTAGGAAATCTTTTCATGACTCTACAAGTCAAGTTCTCTGTATCCTATCATGCTCTTCCTGAGACATAGATTTGGTCATTCTATGAGTTCTTTAGAATTTTTGGCAACTGTTTTCCCTAGAGAAGAATGAGCTGGTCCTTTTCTTCCCTTCAAGGTTCTCTCATCCTCTATCTCTAATCTCATTTCACAGTGTTCTTTCCCATTGTCAGACAAAAGCAATCACTCGCCATTTTCCTTGTGTACTCCTGTGCTTCCTTGTGTGTACCTTTCTGTCTAAAGTGCCTTCATGGCCAGTCTTTTTCCACATTTTCCATTTTTCCTGGATTTTCCTCATTCTTTTAGACCCAGCTCCAATCCCATTTCTGCCACAAAGTCTTCTTTGAGCCCCCCCCGCCCAAGAGTTCTGCTATTATTGTTTTGGTCCTTGTTTTCCATTTTGTCTATAGTGTATGTTGTTATTTCTAGACTACTGCTATCTGCCTTACCTGACTAGAATTTCTTTGGGGTTATGTTTCATGTTTGATTTGTCTGTATTGTCCCCTGTAATATTCCTAATTCAGTCCACAATCAGTAGATGTCAGTAATGAATGAATATCTGTGAATCATTTTTACATGGTATCTAAGGGTATTAATAAATAATAAAGCAGTTCTCTCTTGCTATTATGCAGTTTCCTCTTAATCCAAAGAATCTAGGTTTTAATTATAGAATCTTACACCATGCCTAAGGGAAGATTGAGGTTTGAAACATAAATGGTGTTGGATAAAACAGTTGCATTTAAATTATAATGCATTTAGTATTTCACCATGTTCTCAAACCTGTCATGTATTTTAGCTTCTGTACATTGATTTACTCATCTGTCCACTGTGTTTAAAGGGAAGTGCCAAGTGTTGAGAAATGTATTTAGTTTTGAATTTTACTTGACAATGACATTTATTAATTTTTTCCTTTTAATGTATGTTTGTATGTGCTTTTGTTTTCTACAAGCTTCTGACTTTATGCTTTGTGTTTGTTTTATGTTGCAGATTAATATCTTTTCAAGAATTTGTAGCATTTGAGTCTGTCCTGTGTGCCCCGGATGCTTTGTTTATGGTGGCCTTTCAGCTGTTTGATAAAGCTGGCAAAGGAGAAGTTACCTTTGGTAAGGAGTATGAGTAAATGCGCACCTAAATAAGGGTGGACTGGTGGAAGCATTTCTTTTGTTCAGGAATGAAGTAAAGTATCTGGACATCCTTTTAAGAAATTAGCCTATTCCTTTTAACTGTGGTACTTTGGTGTTTGGGGATCCTGTTCAGATTTCTTCCTCTTTGAAAAAATAACTGTCTGGCTTAGTAGTTTTGCTACTCTAGTTTAGTTTCAAAGTGGGTAACAATGTGACATAGCTTTTCAGTCATAGAATGTGGAAGTCAGTAGGATTTCTGTTCTTTCCCTTCTCCAACAGTTAATAAATTACCTGTGACCTAGGCACCCAGCACTTCTTGTATTTTCCTTGCCCTCATAGATTGGTTTACTTCTAGAGATACTACACATGCTCATGGTTCATAATAGTATAAGAAAGACGTTGTGAAGAAAGGGTAGGTCAGAAAGTGGTACATCAGTGGTAAGTTCTTTAAAAGAAGCTGGTTAATGGAGGTAGATGTGACAGAAAGCACAACATTTTCTTTGGACTGTGTGGTATCCAGCATATGTTGCCTCTAATACCATTGTTCATTGTCATAGTCACTTTCTCATTGCTAGGATGCAATACTTGACATCCCATACTTAAAGGAGAACATATTTATTTAGGTTCACAGTTTGTATAGGTTTAAGTCCATAGTTGGCTGGTTCCAAAGCAGGGCAGCATGGCAGAAGCATGGCAGAGGAGATTGCATGGCATCCAGGAGGCAGAGAGTGTGAATGGAGGAGCAGGGGAGGGAGATAAACCCTTCCAGGCCACATTCTGAGGGATCCATCTCTTTTAAACATGCTCCCTCTCAACATCACATTTAGCTATAAATTCACCAGTGGACTAATTCACTGATGAGTATCACACCCCCATGATCCAGTCACCTCTCAGAAGCCATACCTATGAGCAAATGAGACTTTGGAGAGACATCAGGATATAAACCATAACACCATGAAGAATTTTGGAGCCCTTTGGGCATGTAGATTATGCTTAAAGGGAAAATGGCTAATGTGTCCACTTTAAATGTCTTTATTCTTAGCTTCCAATTGGTTCAGATCTCTTGGAGTTGTCTTATTTGATGCATTATGAGAAATATACTGCTGTAGGGCAAATACAGGTGGTGTAACAGAGCACTGGTTCTGAAGTCAGGGACTTAACCATTTCCAGCTTGGCGACTTTTATCTCTGAGCCATGTTCATTGTCCTCTCAGGTTCTCATTTCCTTATAAAAGAAATGAGGATAATAATGGCATACAGCAGAGATAAAATGGTATAATGGATTTATTCTACTAGCCTTCTTCCCTGCCCCATTCTTCTCATGTTCATTTACATGACAGAGATATTCAGTGTGAGATTAGCCAGAGCAAAGGCAAAGACTCATGTGTGCATTTCTAGCAGCACAGATGCTTCCATTAACACTTCAAGAGGATTATTTAATATTTAAAGATCTTTACATTTAGTTTTTTCTTTTCCATCACCAGATTCTTCTTAGCACCACTGAAATCACAACTTTTCAGTGGAAGGCCAATTTAAAAAGTCTCACTAAAATCTTCAACTACTGAATGAGCAGCTAGCTTATGGTAGTTTGGATGCCAGTTTGATGAAAATGATAGGATAGCATTTCCTTAGAGTGAAAAAAAAGCCTGTAAGTTCGAATGAGTTTAGCATAGGTGTGTTGCCTCTCTTGTCTTCCTACTTTCCTGGATGGGAGAACAAGCAATGCTGGTGGGACCAGACATACCATGGGCCTTGGTGGAGGAGAGAAACAGACCTTCATAAGTGTTAATGTGATTAAAAGAAAAGGATAGGTGGAAAAGTAGGCTGCAGGTGACAAGAGTCCTCTGTGAACTTAACTCACAGAAACATGAGAATTCCCTCTCAGTTTTTTTACAGCTGCTTATGGACAAATCATTTCAACTCTCTATAAACATAGGGTAATACTTAGCTTTAAAGGACTGTGTTAAGAGATCCATCAAATATAAAGGTACTGTGTGCAAAACAAAGGTCTTCATAAAAATAACACTAAAAGAAATTGCTTGAGAAGTAAAGGATTTCCTTTTTCCCCCTTTTCTCTTGCCCTTTGGAAAGCCCTTTCAACTTACATTTTCACATCTAGCCTTTTAGCCAGTTGTGTGCTCACCATCTGTTGCTTGTCAAACACTGTGCATCTCTGAAGGTATGACAGAGTAGCAGGCCCAGTTTCCAGGGACTGGTGTTCTGATTGCATTCTCAATTGCTTATGGCTGCTGTAGAAAAATGTACAGCCTGCCCACCACAGTTTTGTCTTCCCCAGGTAATTCATTGTAAGGTTTGCTTGTCTCATCAGTAGTATGTAGATCTTACATACATTTTATGTATAAGCCCATAGGATCCTCACCCTGTGGGTATCATAAAATATAGCCTGGGTTGTCTAGTCATTAATCTTTACTCAGGATTAAACTGAAAGAGAGATGCATAGAACTATGATACCCAAATGACCATCAGATTGAAAATTAATGGCTGACTTTTAACATACTTTCTTTTTTCTTTTTTTGGGGGGGGGGGGGTATCAGGAATCAAACTTGGGTCCTTGTGCTTATGAGGCAGGTGGCGAAACCACTGAGCTAAATCCCTGGCCACTTTTAACACATTTTCATAGGGTAGGGTAAAGTTATCAGTTGTGGGTTGATGTGGTTAAGTCTTGCCTAAGTAAGTAAAGGCAGAGTTTTTGTTTGTTTGTTTTTGTTTTTTGATAGTTGGTACTTTTAGAGCAAGCTAGCAGTTTTTTCCAGGAAGCTTATCGTGTACTTGAAGATACCAAAAACAAACAAAAAAAGCAGGAGTTGGATAAAAGAATAGGACATACCTAATTGATCCTGGTCTCATAAACCCAAACTATTCAGAAAATGAAAGTCAAGGTCTATAACTTGGCTGTGTGCCAATATGAGGCTATTTGGAGTTATACTCAATTGCAGTCTTACCCACTTATTTCCTTATCTCCTCCTAAATCCATTATGCAAGAATAGCCCCTTATGCTGGGCATGGTGGCACACTCCTGTAATCCCAGCTATTTGGGAGGCCAAGGCAGGAGTATCGAACTCAAGGCCAGCCTGGGCAGCTTGGCGAGAGCCTGTCTCAAAAGAAGGTAACAACTCGGTGTAGAATTCTTACCCAGCATGCTTGAAGCCCTGGGTTCAATCTCTAGTAATGCAAAAGAAAAACAAAATGGTCCCATTAGTATTTCAGAGATCATATACCTCTGCGCATCTTTGGAAAGAGTGAACATAGAGAGGCAAGGGAGCAAGGAACCCCTCTTTTACTTCCCGGATGGCCTCCGTCAGCTGTGGTGATCCTGGGGAGGGCATTGTTTTCACACTGTCCTGACAGTCACGTGGGTCTTTCCCTAGGCTGCAGGGAAGGCTGGAGACTGGCCTCAGGAACCAGTGTTCCCCAGACTTGCATTTTATCCAGAGCAGAGCACATGCACACTTTATCTGTATGTGTTGAGTTTCCACAGAAGAGTGTGTTTGAAGCAGGTTTCTTCAGATGAGCTCATTGTATACTAGTGTTTGTCAACAGACCAGCAGTGTTCTGCTCCCACTAATGTTCTGATACACACTAAACAAAAATCAGATGGAGCAAGGGGCAGATAATCAAGTGTCACATTTCAGTGAAACCTTGCCCCATTTTTCTGAGACCTTATTTACATTTACCATATTTTCATGTCTGGATCACTCCCTGTGTTTGCTACAATGAAAAGATCTTGATTAGGCCAATTTTGATCCTTTGATATCCAGTTCATTATATTCTCCTGTTCCCTTTGAGGGAAACTCAATATTACTCCAATATTATTGCTCTCGCCATGTTTTCTTACCTTGATACCTGATGTTTGTATACATTTTGAGATAGGAACATGTAGATGGGAGAATTTCAGTATAATTGGTAAATTCTAATTAATAATTTATGATTCTCTGTGTATGGGGAAAAAGTTTGTTCTGAATGTTTTTGTTTGCATTTTTAGATGATTCTTTGTTACAATGGTTTTTTTTGTTTTGTTTTGTTTTTTGGTACCGGGGATCGAACTCGGGACCTTTTGCTTGCAAGGCAAGCACTGGAACCACTGAGCTAAATCCCTGGCCCTGTTACAATAGTTTTTAATCTTACCTGTAATTTAAAACGTATCCTGTATTGAAGTATAGCACACACGCAGAAGAATGCACAGGCCATAAGCAGACATCTTGGTGAAGCTTTATCTGGTGCCAGCCATACCCAGCTTTCTTCTTGGGCATTGTTGCCCAGGCCCCATGGTAACAACTGACATTTGTCACCATCAGTTGATCTTGCCGATTTCTAAACTTGATTAAATGGAATCATACAGAATGTATCCCATTGCTCTGGCTCCTTTTGTTCAGTATTTAGTTTGTGAGATGCATACATGTTTTGGTGTATATTTGTACTTTATTCTTTTTCTTTGTTGTAAAGTACTCTGTTAGGTGACTCTACCCTCATTTATTTATTCATTCATTCTACTATTGGTAAACATTTGGGACATTTCCAGTTTGGGCTACTAACAATCATGTGCTTCAAACATTATTTTATATGTATATTTGGGGGTGTATAGGAATTTCTATGGATGGAATTGTTAAATCATAGAAAATACATATATTTAGATTCAGTAGATTTTGCCAAACTGTTTTCCAAAGGGGTCAGACCATTTAATTAATTACGACAGCTTTGTAATAAGTCCTGATATCTGGTCAGTCCCTGGGATTTATTATTCTTTTTCTTTAGATTATCCTGAGTATTCTCTGTCCTTTCATTAAAACAACTTTAGAACAAATTGGTAATTTCTGCAAACATCTTCTGGAATTTTTAATGCTATTGCATTGCATGCAAATGGTACCTATTATGTGTATCTATGTGAATAAGTTTCAAACTCCCTTAAGTGTTTTTAAACTATTTAAATAAAAGTCTTTTTAGTAATCAGTGTTAGTCTTC